CTGGAGGAGCGAGCTCAGAACGCCTCGGCCAGTTTGGGTCTGAGTGAGGTGTAAACGTGCGACCTCCACCTGCAGCAGTGAGCGCTGCGTGCACCTTTCTCTGCTTAACGTCTTATCGTCTTAGCCAGGACTCTCTGGAAAAAGAGATCTTGAATCTAAAAAAATATATGTTTCCTGCTAAAATAAAGGTTAGAATAAATGTAATTATCTCGGGGTGGAATTCAGTGATTCCACGCAGACTAACATGTTTTCATGCATTTTAAATCCAGATTAAGTCGCACTAACACGATAGTTTGGTACTTTTTGTGCCTTTATTTAAAGAGACAGGACGGTGGATAGAGAGACAGAGACATGTGGGAAAGGAGTGACTGGTCGGATTCAAACCCAGGCAGCCCGCTAGGAGGTCTACCGCCTCCGTACATGAGGCGTACCCACTAACCACTAGGCTACCCACGCCCCCGTCCACACCTAAGTATTAGAGCCCGACTGATTCATCTGCCAGCCGATAACATCGGCGGATATTAGCATACCCAGTGACTATCGGTACTTTTATCGCAGATATGCACCAATATTACTATTTTTATTCACCAAAGACCATTTCATTTGAGAATCATTATACTAAACTAGAGGTTATGTTTCTGGTTGTCACCAGCAGAGGGCGCTATGGATTATAATGAGCATTATTAGCGTCATGCTCATTTCCTTTCCAGCTGAGTGACCGTCTTGTCTTCAGTATTTATCTTTTACACGAGTGTAAACACAACAAATGTGTATTTATTCATCGCTAAAGATCGAACATGGACCAAAGAAAGATATCGGCCGATTTATCGGTATCAGATTTTTTTCCCTCCCCAATATCGATATCAATAAATCGGGCGAAAAATCTCAAATCAGTCTGGCCCTACTAAATATCACAGGGACAGTGAGGGATGACCTGGACAGAAAGAAATCAAATCTAAAGAACTCTCCCAGCAGTAAATTAAAGAGAACTTCTGATCAGTCTCCCCAAAACAAATATCGATGAGCGGAGGTCAGACGAAGGTCAAACAGAGGTCAGACAGAGGTCACACTGAAAACTGACTTTTTCATTTTGTTTTGAAAATCGTGTGTTTTTCACATTTACCACTGTCATCACTGTTTTTACAAACTTACATCTCTGACCTATTTTTATAGGTATTTTTACATTCAGTTCACAAGCCTGAATAAATGTTGTATTTCATTTTTTATTTTTTTAAACCAGTAGGAATGTTAAGTTAAACCCTTGATGTATAAATCTCTTCCTATTCTGATTTTTTTAAATATTTAAGTGCTTATTTATGTTTCTATTCTTATATTGTTTTATTTTCTTTGATAACATGCAAAAAAACAAATAACTAAATAATTTTGATAACAAAAAAAATGGAATTTCCCCTCGCGGGATTAATAAAGGATAAATTACTTATTATAATTATTATGCTGCTGTAACACCTCAATTTCCCAGATTGGGATCAATAAAGTAATTCTATTCTATTCTACTATTTCCTGTTTTTTCCTGGTTGTAACTGTTTCTAAATAAAGAGACAGATGGTCATTAACACTTTGATAAACAATAAGACTGTAAATCCTCATCAGGAGAAAAACCAAAGCAGAAAAGTCTGACTGTAAACCTGCTATAAATCACAGCAGGACGTCATGGACAAGACAAAAAAAACCTCTGTAAGCACAATTACGCTGAGCTCGATAGCATTTAGCATCGGCGAGCTGCTGTCATTAATCACATGAAGAAGAAGAGCTAATGTGATTTAGCATATTTGTTTAGGAGGAGAGACTCTGACAAACATATTGCCCTGTGATGTATGCGAGTGTGTGCAACTGAAATAAATCACTGCTTTTTCTCACCTTGACTCGCGCAGCTGTGGTTCGGCGAGGCTCCGCCCACCTCGCCGTGCACCTCGGTGTTATCGGTCGACTCTTGTCAGCGTGAGGTTCACTCGATGCTTCAACATCTGCACCGTCTGACGTTAAGGTGACATCCTGTGACGTACTGACCTCAGGTGAATCCTCCTGTTCAGGTCGCTGAAGCACTAGCTGCACGTCTCCGCTGTTTTCAGAAGGCGCTGACGTAGATTTAACCCCTTCCTCTCCACCACATGGACCTTTGACCTCTGATGTCACATCCTCTAATGCTGTGTTCAGATCAGAGTCGCCGGCCTCTGCAGGTTCACTCTCATCAGCTGCTGGATTGTCCCCGCTCTCTGCCGACCCTTCACCCAGATGATCCTCTTTGGAGAGTTCTGGGGCGGACTCGTCATCTGCTGCCCCCTCAGGAGACAAAGCCCCCGTTGTTTGGGGACCGGGTGATCCAGGCTCTGTGCCGGTCTGGCTGCAGGCCGTCTCAGAGCGATCGTTGCTGTCCCCGGGTTCTGAATTGTCCGGCTCGTCCATGATCCTGGATCCAGTCGAGTCCTCGTCCTCCACTCCGGCGCCGTCCTGACTGAGGTGGAATATTTCAGTTGTGGAGCTCGCGACCGATTGGAAGCTGCCGTCGTCATCACTGGAGACGGACTGTGTCAGATCACAGAGTCCTGAGCTGGGAGGGACCGCTTCAGGGGCCGGCTCAGGGGTCGGCTCAGGGGACGGCTCAGGGGACAGCTCAGGGGACGGCTCAGGGGCCGGCTCAGGGGACGGCTCAGGGGACGGGTCTGTGCGCGTTCCCTCCATGGAGACGTCGGCGACCTCACACTCGGCCGTGTTGTAAGGTTCATACATCGGCAGAATGGTTCTCTCGATGATGTATTCAGAAGGTTCAGCTACGTCCTCGCCATCCTGCTCCTCGTCGCTCGCTGTCCCAGGATGACGAGCAGATTGTGGAGCCGAGCCCCTCCGCTGCTCCGAGGAGGAGTAATCCCCACCAGCTGTTTCCTGGTTTTGTTCCAGGGTGTTTGTGTCTGGTGGAGGTTCCCCCTCGTGGAGGCCTTCTATCAAGAGAGGTGGAACAACAGACTCCTCCATTACATCACCGCCGTCTATCAGCGGCGGGCTGGGGGCGTCCCCCGGGGTTGATAGCGGCTCTGAAAACTCCCTCGCCTCTAAAAAGAGGCCGTCGCAGGGATCCCGGCTGAGTCTCATCTCTTCCTCCTCGATGTTCTCTCCTTCCTGACGGTAATCCTTCATTTCTGAATCGGAGGTTTCTGAGTCCTCCAGAGACGGGGACTGACCCATGACTGGATCTTTTGTGTCTCCACTGGGCGTTACTGGATCTGTCTCCTCCTCCTCCTCCTCCTCCCTCCTCTCAGCAGTGCTGTCCTCCACTTCCTGCTCTGATCTTTCCTCTCCCCCCGTGGCCTCCTCTCCCTCTCCACTATCAGTTTCCTCCGCCGGCGGTTTGATTCCCACGGCGAGGCTCTCCCCGTCTGTCTCGCTCCCTTCTCCTTCACACACTCTCACACTCTGGGAGGAAACACCAGGCTGCTCCCTCCTCGGCCTCCTCTTGCAGTAATCTCTCCCAATGTTTGAACTGAGACACACCCAGTCCTCTGGGGGGCCGAGGCCGGACTCCCCGAGGCCGGCTCCTGACTCCTCCTGACTGCTTAAAGACAAACTCCAGGCTCCAAGTGCACAGTCAACACCGCTGCTTCCCACTGTGCACTTCTCCTCTGTTGTTGTTGTTGTTGTTGTTGTTGTTGTTGAGAGCTGCTGTGGACAGGTCGTCTCTGTCTCTACACCGTCACAACATTCAGACGACGTGTGCAGAGAATCAAACTGCAGCTCCAGCGCAGAAACTCCCTGAGAGAGAAAAAGAAGAAGAAACTTTAGCTTTTTTTCCCCCTCAGAGAAACAGACAGAGCCGCTCTCTCGTTCTTATCAATCAGCTGCTCTGTGGTTGCATAAGGTGTTCCACCGGTTACACAAACTGAGCTTCAAGGTGAAAAAAAACGAGGGCAGTGACAAGACAAACAATCCAACAATGTCCAGCAGCAGCCCAGGTATCAGATAAGGGCCAGCGTGGGTAGAAAACGGCGTGCTGAGAGGGGCAGGGTTGGTGTGACTCACCTTGGCATGGAGATGGCAAACCAAGTGAAGCAGCAGCTCGGCGCTCCTCTGAAGGGTCGGGGGGTCGCGGCCCGGGCGGGTCCTCAGCGTCAGAGTGTGTGTGCGCAGCCTGGGAAGGTGGCAGAACACCCGGGCATCTGCGGAAACCGGCTCGCTCCCTTTGTCCGCCTCTGAGTCCGCCTCAGCCCTGACGAGAAATAAAAACAAATCATCCAGAAGGGTCTGGAGGAACGTGATTGGCTAACAGGGCAGAGCGCTGCTTTCAGGAGAAAGTTTAAACAGTGATGTCAGCTGATCTAAACTCCCACTTTTCTTTGATAGTCCACGTGCATGACTGATTTTTTTTTTCTTTTCCTGAGAGTGGAGAAACTCTTCCTGAGTTTATGTTTAGTCGGGTCGAGCGGCTCAGCAGGTGAGCGACCTGAAGAGGCGTCGTTATGAGATAAAGAAGCTTGTAAATGTGCAGAAGTTCAGACACTGTGGCAACTCAACCAACGTGTTTCTTAACATCCCAGGAGTAAAACAAAACACCCTCCATTCCCCCCCAAAAGACCACTCAGAAGACCGCCCCCCCCGCTGCAGGTTAAAGTATGTGCAGTGTTTGTGTTAAAGGGGGAGAGGCAGATCTGCTGTTTGCGTAATGTTGGGTGGATCTCCTGATGCAGCTGAGGTCAGCAGCCGGTCTGCGAGTGACTTCACTTTTTCACGAGGGGAAATGTAATCACCACCAGCACATAAAGACGGAGCTGCACGCCGTAAAGCACATATGGTAATGAGGCGCCTCCCTAAGAGCTCGTTGTCTTTCAGCTCGTGGCGTCTGCATTTGGAGTTAAGTGAAAACTATTCTGCAGCCGATAAGGAGAGTCGCTTAAAAGACACCAGAAAAGGGGGTGGGGTGGGGCGGTGGGTTGGGGCGGTGGGTGGGGGTGCGTTCCCACTTCAAGCTGTGTCTCAGGACGTTTGCCAAAAACCTGTTGTTGTTTTTCCCCTCTCCGGTTTTTAATGTTCTGACTTTAAAACGATGAACAGATGTGACCTCACTGATCACTCAGGATAAAACCTGACAAGAGCAAATACAAGACAAGTGTGTGTGTGTGTGTGTGTGTGTGTGTGTGTGTGTGTGTGTGTGTGTGTGTGTGTGTGTGTGTGTGTGTGTGTGTGTGGATGAGATGTTCAATGGCTCAGGATTGGTCACTGAGTCTTTTGTCTCTCTGGATTCTCTTGAAACAAAAGGCGACAGACAGACGGAACACAAACTTTCAATTTGTCTCCAACAATCCCGCCGCAGCTTCAAAAAGCCTCGGCTAACCTCGGCTAACCTCGCCACACCGGATCTCTGCGGTGATGTTCTTTGGAATCTCCTTTTGTTCTGTGGAGATATCAGAGGAACAAGGCGAGCCTCTGACACGAGGGCAACGTCCACAGACTGAGCTCATGTTGCTTTGTTTACATTTGTTTTTCACTTCGACTCAAACTAAACTAAACTTCATGAATCTATACTACTGATAGAAGCAACCTATCCGGGTACTTTCCCCTTCACTGGAAGCCCCGCCCCCTTCTGGAGTTAAAGCAGTACGTCTGGTTTGAGCAAACACAACAATGATCCTCCATGTTGCTAAGTCATTCCTGGAACGTGTTGTGACATCATTCCCAGCTCCTACCTGACGTCTGATGGAAATGAAACGCACGCATTGTTTTCACCCTAATGGCGGCTTGTTCACTGCTCGGTGCTTACTCTGTAAGGAGCTGGAGAAGGCGTTCGTTTCCACGCTGAGCCGCGATGTCGGAGGGGGTGTGGCCTTGTCTGTTGGCCAATCGCAGGGCCTCTCTGGCTCCGGATCGCCGCAGCAGGAAGTGCGTGACCCGATAGAGACCTCTTCGAGCTGAGAAATGCAGCAGGGTCTCCTGAGGGTCCAGGTCTGAAAACAGAGAGAGAGAGAGAGAGAGAGAGAGAGAGAGAGAGAGAGAAAGAATAAATCCATTGCTGCAGAAAGAGTCAGAGACAGAAGAATGCAGAAGTTCAGGGCAGCCAATTTGTGGTGCAGAAGCCGACATACCATCACTTCCTGCAGCTCGGCAACGCCGCAGAGCAGGCTAATTAAACCAGTACAGGATGCAGAGAGAGCCAGTCAACTAAAGACCTTTACACCATGACTCTGTCTTCAACATGCACTGTACATCTCTGAGAGCAAACAAACAAGCTGGGATTGGTTTTTAAATTAAGATTTCAGACGTGAGGACATACTGATTGGACACACAGCTTCTGACAGGAAGTGACCAGAGGCTGAGCACAACATCCACAGATGTCTTTAAGACTTTGTAATTATCATCAAAACCAACATAAACAAGTTAGTAGGTGTTCATAAAGAGCTGGGTCTTTAGCTTTTTCTTAAAGGTGCAGAGACTCTGCAGATCAAATTAAAGTTTAGTTCATTCCACCACCGGGGGGCGACAGAGGAGAAGAGTCTAGTCAGCATCTTAGGACCCTGTTGTGAAGGTTGGATCAGAAGCCTTTCATTGGCAGAGCGTGGTGGGCGGGAGGGAGTGTAGACCTGGATCAGAGAGTTAAGTAAGGAGGAGACGTTATCGTAAGTGAGCAGCAGAGTTTTAAATTCGATACGAGCAGTAACTGGGAGCCAGTGGAGGGAGGAACAGAGGAGTGACATGTGCTGATGTTTCAGGGAGGATGAAGACGAGTCGCTCTGTGATAGTTCACAGAGCTGAAACAAAATGTCGAGCTTCAATAAGTAACGACATTAAAACGACCACAGCAAAGAGGACTCTATGAAGGAGCATGTGACCACTTCAAAGTTCACCATTTCATATCACAGAGGAATCGCTTAATGAAAGATCCTTATTGACACCATAGATCAATCACACTCTGACATCATCAAGCACTGAACACTACACTACCAAGATTCATGAACACACACACACACACACACACAACAACAACACAGAGAGAGAGAGAGCGTTTTCATTCTGCCAAAGCAACAGGTGTTCAGAGATTCTCCCTTCACAGGAACAGTTTTAATGATCGTGGATTATTTCAGAGATCTGACTCTAAACTCTCTCTTCGTTATTAAAACACATCCTCGGTTTTGCAGGAGTTGCTCAATACTTTCCGTGCACATTAACATGATTTACAGTTGTTGCTTTCACAGGACAAAAGATAAAGAGAACGCTCGCTGGAAACTGAATCGTAAAGTTTAACAAACGTTATTTCACAACAGCACAAAGCGATTACTGAAGACTGAGGGGGGGGGGAAGGGGGGGGGAAGGGGGGGGGGGGGTCCTCTTGAGGTTGAAGACACTGCACACTGCACACGGTCGTTTGTAACAGCACAGACATCACCAGAATGATGACATGTGGACACTGTTTCCTCACTGCTCTTACAAATAGAGAGACAGAGCGAGAGAGAGAGACAGAGAGAGAGAGACAGAGAGAGAGAGAGAGAGAGAGAGAGACAGAGAGAGAGAGACAGAGAGAGAGAGAGAGAGAGAGAAGAGCGAGAGAGACAGAGAGAGAGAGAGAGACAGCGAGAGAGAGAGAGAGAGAGAGAGAGCGAGAGAGAGAGAGACAGAGGGCTGTTTTGGACGGATTCCACAGTTTTAGTGGCTTTAACTAGAAGTGAGAGGGTCCAGTCCCCCCTATGCTTCAGCCTAGCGTTAGGTGCAACCAGAAGACCATGATGGGACATGTGGCTGTAAAAGAGAGGGAGGAAGGAGCCTGCCCGTTCAACGCTTAGCAAGCAAACTGCAAGATCTGAAAATGGATCCTAAAACTGACAGGGAGCCAATGAAGGGAGGCCAGGACAGGAGTGATGTGCTCTCACTAACGTGTTCCTGTGAGGAGCCGAGCGGCAGCGTTTTGAACAAGCTGCAGACGAGACGAGGAGGCCGACATCACGAGCATTAATACAGTCGAGTTGAGATTAAAGCATTTAGAAGTCACTCAAAAAAAGAAAAGTCTTGATCTGAAACAGTTGCTTCAGCTTCAGATTTCACAACAGAATGAATCCGGTTGTGTCTGACGCTGAGAGGGACCGGTCTGAACCAGCCTGCCCCCCCCCCCCCCCCAATGAACCTGGAGCCAAACTGGTCACATTTAACGCTCCGATTGGCCGAGCTGTGCCAGCCTGGAATGCGAGGTGCCCAACAGAGTGGCAAAATGCTTCAATGCTGGGTTTTTGACAACGGTCGTTCAAAACTGGCAACCACGACGTCCAGGAAAATGTTGTACACATTATACATCTGGGACGTCCATGTAGTTACAGCCATTTGGTGTGGTACATGAAGCACCAGCTGAACAGAGGACTGGGTCACCATGAGCAGCTGAAACACTTCACGGCTGCCTGGGAAAGATCCAGATGAGCTGGCGGTTAGTCTGCCTCAGAAGCACCAAACATGAGGCCACACTTTTTACTTTCAAGTTCAATTAGTTTATGATGTAGGACTTATCGTCTGGTCCAAAAATGACTTTTTCTCTGGTTTAAGTGACAACAGTTAAGGTGAAACACAAAACACAATCCCATCCACCAAGCTCGGGGAAATATTTGTTTCTAACCAACCAAGTAAAAACCCAAAAATATTCCATTTACAACGACGTAAAAAAAAGAGGAAAGCAGCAAATATTCACAACTGCAAAGCTTTCACCAACATGTGAATTCAGTTTTTAAACTTCCTGGCAACAAGTCTGTAGAGAAAGGAGTGTTAGATGGGTCATCACTTTGGTTTGGACTGAAATATCACAAAAATATTGGATGGATGTTCGTAATCTTTGAAACACAACGAAGGGCCCAGAGAAGAAATCTTAACAATTGTGGTGATAGCATGATTGTTTCTCCAGTGGCGTTTCCACACATGCTCAAAAAACTCCTGAAAATGTCAAATTTTTGTTGCATGTCTGAATAAAAATGACTGTACTCATCTTGTCAGCCCCAATTTCCCAGTGTTAAGTGTTAAACAAATCAGTGTGATTGTGGAGCAAGAAATAAAGCAGCTTCTTTTATTGTTTAAAGCAGCAGTATGTAACTCTGACACCTAGTGTTTAAAATGGGTACTGCAGTCCAAATTCTAAACATCATAGAGAGCTGTCTCCCCCCCCTCTCACTCAGGTCACCATGTGGTGGACTCTGAAGCTTCAGTGTTTATCCAGCTCTGCATGGGTCTGTAAACCTTTCTGTGTTCTAACCTCTCTCCATTTTTCAAAAGCATCTCCAATATTGATCCTAGTTTGAGCACGTTTCTGCTCGTGGAGCTTATTAGAAACATGCAGAGGCTTTTTAGGTCGGGTACAATCACTTCTATCTGAACCACTTCTCTTGACCGCTTCCATCACTGCAACACCTGTTGACCTGATAACTGCTCTCATATCTGACAAACAGAGGGGCGTCCAAAACGGCTCCAGAGCATTCAGGAGCAGAATCTAAAGTTAGAAGGAGGACATACTGGCTGCTGCATTGTTGTCAGAGAAGCCAGCACTTCAACATAGCATGTTTCCTTAATGATCAGAGAGTAAGATACCTTTATCATCTCACTCTCTACACATCTCACTGATTGCTCAACAAATCCCGCTGAATTATCTGTAACGACAATAAAGCCATTTTACTCTTTTGTATTTGTATGAGATTTCTGAAGCAAAAATTTTAGGAGAGCATGTTTGAAAACAGAGCTTGTTTCAGTTAGCTTATGTAAGGAAAGTGTGACTGTAAACATGGCACGTTATATTTGCTAACCAATGGCATGTTTGCATTGTCAGTGTGATGAGGAGGAACACCTCACACAGCTCCTGCTCGCTGCTGCAGAGTCAAATCAACAACGTATTGCAAACCAGAGGGATGATAAAAAGAGACTCAAAGCTTTGTATATATAAAGGCGTCTGATCCAACCTTCACATCAGGGTCCTAAGTCTCTGACTAGACTCTTCTCCTCTGTCGCCCCCCGGTGGTGGAATGAACTTCCAAACTCCATGTGATCTGCAGAGTCCCTCTGCACCTTTAAGAAAAAGCTAAAGACCCAGCTCTTTCATGAATACCTACTAACTTAATGATGATGGTCTCCATATTATTGATGATGATGATGGTAATGACGATGGTTTTTGTTTGATAACGACGACTTATAAGATGGTTTCTATACTGATTAGAGCTCTCAAGAACTGCCCTCAATGTTGTGCTTTGCCTCTGGTCACTTCCTGTCAGCACCTGTGTGTCCAATCAGACTCAAAGCTGATCGTTTGCTCTTACTCACATTGTTCCCTTTTTTCTAGATCCTTGCTTGTGTTGTTCTTACTCTCTGATGTACGTCGCTTTGGATAAAAGAGTCTGCTAAGTGAATTGTGGAATATACTGAAGCCTCTGGATCATTGACTGAAAGGTATGGATTGACCCGCCATAGACTCCAGGTAAGTTGACCTGTTGCTCCCTAAGTACATTATTTGTATGTTGATCAGTGTTCTGCCGGTGGGAGTGAATTTTCCAGAGGAGAAATAAATGTCTGTCTGAAGTGAGATCAGTGACTGCTGTCCACAGCATGAAGGATGACTGAGATAAACCGCCGTCACCTCCACCTGTAGACGGCTGCAATCCATCAGCTGACAAGTCTGATGAATGAGGAGCGGCGCCGCACTTCTCTTCCCTCCCCACAGTTCACCGCCGCTCAACGTCTCGCATTGAAGCAGTGACATATTGTGAAGCAGAGCCTATTAGAGGCCACATCAGTCACCACCACAGGAAGCTGAACGACCACGTCAACAGAGACACAACAGACTTTAATAAAAGTGTGTGTGTGTGTGTGTGTGTGTGTGTGTGTGTGTGGGTGTGTGTGTGTGTGTGTGTGGGTGTGTGTGTGTGTGTGTGTGTGTGTGTGTGTGTGTGTGTGTGTGTGTGTGTGTGTGTGTGTGTGTGTGTGTGTGTGAGAGAGAGAGACAGGGAGAGAAAAAGTGTGTGTATGCACGAGTGTGCATGTGTGAGAGAGCGTGTGTGTGTGTGTGTGTGTGTCCATCCCTAAACTTTCCAAAACAATAACAAGCTGATCTTATCCGATCGTCGGGGGGGTCATTACTGAAAATGTGATTTGATGAATTTTCCTTTCAGACTCTGAACAATAATGAATAAAACATGTGAAGAGTGAGTGTGTGTGTGTGTGTGTGTGTGTGTGTGTGTGTGTGTGTGTGTGTGTGGACTATACACTCCACACTGAAGGAGTCTTCATGTCAGCAGAACTTCCAGCTGGTTCTGCTGGTTCGCTCTGATATCGTAGTCAGAGTTAAACTATTATCTTAGGAAGAGCCGGAGGCCGTGCTCGCGCTGCTCCCTAAACTCTTGTTTACGCTGCTTCACAGAGAGCCATTACCTCGCAGAGTTTATCGTCCACATCAACTCGTTTGGCTTCCTTCAACTGATTCAAGTCATCAGAGTCAATGGCGGGAGAAAATTGGCCCTTTCATTTTCATAAAAACTGTCGGGTTTGTTTGCTCTGACGTCTCAAACTGCTGTTAGGCCTCAGGCTGCAGCGCGGAGACATTCTGCTGTGTGACTGTTTTATTGTCAGAGTCTGAAAGTAGACACATCGTTTCTTGTTCAGGTCTTTTATTAGCATGAGCTAGCATCTAAAAAAAAAGCAGCACATTGGCTTTCTCTGTTTACCGGCACAGAGATGAGACAGGCGTCCATCATCTCCTCTCCTGTAGTCCTGGTGCATTTTTTAACATTTAAAGACAGTTTTTTGTGGATAATTTTGGCTGTGTTGATGCATATGGCACAGGTGTGTATTTTGGGGTGAATTTTAAAATTTCATGAAAATGTATTTCTCAACTCTTTAATACACTATGTTAAAAAGAAACATGTTAAAAAAAATAATCACACCTTTAGTCTTATACCGTTCCAAAGCCTGTTTATTTCCCTTTTAAATGGTGCCACATTTGTAAGGAATGTGCAATTGTGGGAAGAGCAGCAGAGCTGAGTATGTGGGATGAGCCCATGAAAAACGTGCCAAATCTTCTCTGCCAATGCCAAAAAGCGTATTCTGCTGTTAACTCTTCTTTGGTGTCTTTTAGTGGATTGGACGATTGAAACACTGAATATTGAAGATATGTATGGTGAGGACTGAAGTTAATAATAGTAACCATTGAAACAAAATTGGAGTTGTACATTACTAGATAATTTTCCTATGGCAGTCTTTATTGGAGCATTTTTTTGCGTCGTAGGTTGAAAGTTGTAACACAAATCCTAGGGTTGTAGGAGGGTTAAGACGCTTCTAGCCATGTTGAGGCCGCCGCCATCTCAGAAGGCAGGACAAAGAATGAAGTATCCGAAGCTTTGAGGAAACGAAAAACCAGCCAACGCTGACCAATCACAGCTCAGGTGGTCTTTGTGGTTTTTCAGTTTTATGCACAGACTCTATAACTGAGTGGTAACCTTCCTTTGGCTCTCTGTAGTTTCTAAAGTGATTAATGAGGTAATCAAAGATCTGTCCGTCTATAGACAAGCCTGTTAGACAAATCCAGGTTGTAGACAGAAGCCGACCAATCACCACTGGAGGATCATTTCAAACACGCTCACTGTGTAGACGATGTTTAAACACCAACATGTAACAGACGGATGAGCCCGTTTGATTTACTTCAGTTTGACTTGAATTAAATCTCCACAGACAAAAAGATAACCGCTTCATTTATAGTGCAGTTTACAAAAGTCATCCACCAAACTGCTGATTTACTGCCAGCTTGCAATGTTAGATTTTTGATTTCTGAAATTCCAGTTTGACGATACGATGCATTTCTGCTGATTGCAACAAATGAGTCATAGAGTTTACAGGAACTTGAGTATCTTGGTTTTGATCTGTTTTTTAAGAATCCTGTTTATGTATTTTTGCATGTAAACAAAATCTTTAAATCCTGATTTTGAGACACCTGATTTTTCTACCTGGAGCACTCAGGAAGGAAAAGGAAAATGTGGCATGTGTACGACTTTCCCCCGGTTTCTGACAGACGCCGACTGCCTGCACCTCAGCCAAGTGACGCATCAGCAAAACAAACATGGCGGAGGCGGGAATGAGAGTGTCTTACTTCTGGAGCGCCGAAGTGGAGTTTTGTCTTTCAGTAATGTAAGAATTTAATATAATCTGAGGTTTAGATGAGAGAAAGCATCGACATGCTGACAGCAGTCAGAGGCGAGGACTTGTTTAATATCGGCTGTCGCTCTCTTCTCCCGTTGGTGGAAATCAGGTGGAGACGCCAAATCTGAAATGCCATGTTGGCGTTTAATCATGCTGAGCCCTCAATAAGTCACAGCGGTCTCATTCCTCTCAGATTACTAAATATCACAGACGTCTCCATGAATAAGATGCAGTCATCATAAAGCAGGATACGAGTATTTATCATGTCTACAGAGAAATGAGGAACCAGGTTTCTCTGTGTGCAGGTAAACACCAGATCCTGAAGATGATCAGAACCAGAATCAGACTCAAAACCGGGATCCTCAAGTCCATCTGAACACACTCAGTGATGTTGTTGTGCATGCTCCACTTTTAAGAAAATGTGTGCTCAAACAGGCCGTTCCCTTCATGACATCACAAAGGGCAGTAGCCCCTCCCCCAGGTGGGTGACACTCCCACAGCTAGGTGTTTGTTCTGCCCTCTGAGTCTGCCTTCTCACTGTAAACAATAGGACATGGAGCGAGAAAGACCGAACAAGAAACTTCACACACATGTTTTGAGGAGCTGTTGATAGTAAACCCTGACTCGCTGGCTTACCGAGCTATCTGGATCCAAACAGCACCGTCATATGGAGGCTGTGGAGGTCGGACCACATGATGCATGAACTAAAGTCAGACTGATGCTTTTAGACTGAATCATTTCTACAGACCTCCTTTGTTCCTATGACTGCAAACAATGATTAACACAAACATTAGCGCTTCCACTGCAGATGTAAAATGTTTTTGATCACAATCAGACATGGCTGTACGAGCTGCATCACATGAACAAGCTGCCAGAGAAGTTAAAGGTAAATCATCACTGAGCACACAAACAGCACCGTGAAACATGACCTGAACTTCTCCTCTGGGTGAAAACAGATGTTGCAGATATGAGACACACGACAACAAACACACAAACAGAGTGTGTGTCATCATGAGCACTACAGCTATAATTAACTGTTGTGTTTCTGCAGCAGTGCAGAGACACTCAGTCTGAGTTTGTGTGTTAGGAAATGAGATGCTGCAGTCAGTCAGCCCCCTCCCCGGCCTCCAGTCTCACCAGTGCTGTTGGTCAGTTTGTTCCCCAGTAAGCTCCATCCTGGCGGCAGCGCGAGGTGGTGGAGGGCCAGCGCCAGGCTCTCGTCCAGGCGCTCACACTCCTGCAGGGGAATCTGACACTCGTCCAGCAGCAGCGCGCCGTCCAGGCCGTCATCCCGGCCCGCAGTGCTCACCTGTGCAGAGAGGGGGTGATTACAAGAGCTCGTGAGAAGTTTTTAGGGAGGAAGAGGTGAGGCTTAGTCTGCTGGAAGCACTCGTCTTTAAGACGCTCAGCATAAGAGCATTAACTAAATGCCAAATGTAAGATGTAAACGATGTCACACACATTCAAATGCATTTCTAAGCTTGACTGGAGTCTGTGCTGTGATGACTAAAAGAAAATCATTTTGCATGTTTAAAAGTGTAAAATCATGATCCATTAAAAGCTTTCCTTCGGTCGTGCTCAGGGTTGTTTGGCAAAGCACATTAAACGTCAGGTTTCTCTCCGATGATTCATTGTGCTAAAAAGATTTCATTAATTGAACACCAAGGACTTTGAGACGGCAGCCTCGCCAGGGAAGAAACAATAAAATGACAGCCTGTTGTCTTACTGTCACTTGGCCTACATTGCTGCATCACTCGTAACCATGGTAACCACTTTTCCCGTCCTGATCTGTTACAAGCCTCGGCTCTCGTGTTTTCTCCCAGAAAAAAAAATGGAAATGGTGTCTGCGTTTTGTTGCTCACCAGGAACTGTGCCATGTCAAAAGCCAAGTCCTGGACAAAGCTGAAGCGATGCTCCGCCAACGGGGCCACGCAACCCAGACGGGGCTTTGGGATGTCGGGGTCCTCGGGGTCCTCGGGGTCCTCGGGGACATCACGGCCGGCTGAGCACAAGGTGACCAACACCACCTCGCAGCAGTCATGGGCTACAAGACGAAAGAAGGAGAGAGAGAGAGCAGAAAGAGGAGGAGGAGGTGACAAAGGACAGACAGTGAGGGTGATATACCAGACATTCTTTAGAACATGTTCTTGCCATGTGATGATATTGATTTTTAAATAATAGATTGACAGGCAGAGTTTGTTTTTTTTATTTATTTTTATTTTGGCAGATTGTGATTGGTTTACTTCAACTACATTAAAGTCTTCTTATGACATCGGATGCAGCATGGAGTGTGTTTTAATGACTTATGCAGATCAAACTGCTTTTTCAAAATAAAATAAAAATCTTATATTGTATCGATGTTATGAGGAGACCCGACCGATATTTATTTTTTGGGGCCAATATTTGGGGGAAAAAAAATTTATACCGATATATTGGCCGATATCTTTCTTAGATCTATCTACAATCTGAAGAGATATAGATTTAGAAATACACATTTATTGAGTTATCAAACGCTTGTGGAAAAGATCTTTAACAAAAACAAGATGGTCACTCAGCTGGAAAGTAACGAGCATGTACGTGCGTCACTGCTCGACACTCTGGAGAGTGATGATGCTTTTTGTAATCCATATAGCGCCCTCTGCTGGTGTAAGACAATGAAACAAACAAAAAATGCTTTTTGACTGGTGAATAAATGTAGAAATATCGGAACATATCTGCGATTGACTTTGCCGATACCGATAGTCACTTGATATGCAAATATTGGCGGATATTATCGGCTGGCTGATAAATCGGTCAGGCTCTACATGTGATGGTGCGTTCATCAAAATGAGTTTGATTACGAGTCCTGCCTCAAAAAGTCATGCAGAGCCTTTATTCCCAACATGATTCTTTTCCAGATATTAGAAAACATCTTCCAGATAAACCAGCTTGTTTACAGTATTGCATTATCGTGTATCGTATATGTTTTCCCTTTCTATTTTGAGCAGCTGTTGAAGGCCACTTTAAACATATATCAGCACAGCAACAACATGAAGTCATAGACAATCTGTCACCATAAAGATGAAATCAAAAAGGCAGTTACTGCACATCAACCATCTGACACATTTCAGTATTTAGTCTCCTGGACATGACCTCAATGTCCAGATGAGTAAACATCAAGAGATCGTTTGTCTCTTGTTTATCTTTAGTTTAATCATCTGGTTTCTCCACCAGGTGTATGAACAATGAACTGGTGGGACTCCTGGAATCAGAGCTTTGTCACAACGCTCTGCTCTTCATTCCTACAGACTACAGAAACCTGAGAATGGTGTAACTGACCAATCAGGATCGAGTATTTGACCCAGCCGTTTAATGAGCTTTAACATCTTAACCTCAGTCGATCACAAATTGCATTAATCAGCTATGAGCCTTTATTTCTCAGCAGACATTTTGACCTACATATGTTTCTAATGACAGGAAGCTAGTGCATGATGACGGTGTGAATGTGAGGCAGGAAGAACGAAGCTAATCGATGATATTCTATAGAAACGGAGGTCAGGATTTTTAGCGTTCCTACTTTGACATCCAACGGCATTTCTCCCCTTTAACCAATAGTCGTCACACTGCTTTCCTGAATTCCTCTCCACTTTCCTCTGCCAGTTTTCTGCTAAATCCTCTTCCCCATGTTCCTCTAACTCTAACATGTGTCTCTAGTCCGTCTACAAACCCCCAATGATGAGAGAAGTCCATCCTCTCCATCTTCTGCCTGCTCCACTTTTCAGAAAATGTGTGCTCAAACAGGCTGTTCCCTTCATGACATCACAAAGGGCAGTAGCCCCTCCCCCAGGTGGGTGACACTCCCACAGCTAGGTGTTTGTTCTGCCCTCTGAGTCTGCCTTCTCACCGTAAACAATAGGACATGGAGCGAGAAAGACCGAGTACACCCCAAGCCCTTCCAGAGAGGGGGCGTGGTCAGACACAGCTCATTTACATATTTAAAGGTACAGACACAGAAACAGCCTGTTCTGAGCAGGGCTGAAATAGAGGGGTTTATAGACATGATCAAATACAGGATCAGAGTGGATTTAGAACAAGAAACTTCACACACATGTTTTGAGGAGCTCTGAGACTTATTTAAACTGAAGAGGAGGAGAATATGTCACCTTTAAGATGGGGGATGATAAAGGACCCTAATTTGGTTCATTAGGCTGCATGTTGTGTTTGTTTGTTTTCTCAAACAAGGGAGACTCATTTTGAGTAAAAGATCTGTAAACATCCCTCCATCCAGGGAGGCTTTCCCTCTCTGATTGAATGTACATCTGAAACCTGCTGGCTGCTGTAATCCTGACTGAACACGGAGTCTGTTCCATTTGGTCAAAGAACAAATGTGTGAGCATAGATTCAGCCTTTTCCGACATGTTTTCTCCTGCAGAGCTGATAAAACAGTCAAATTTGAATCGTGTTACCCTCACAGTTTGGTTCAATTACAGCAAATAAAAAGAATCAGCGTCATTACAGCGCTGCCTTGCAACACTTCCCTCAATCATATCTAATTAATACCAATACATATTTATTTGTCTTAATGAAACACGTGTTCATTATTCTCACTAATGCCTTTCAAGCCGTCACAAATCAACCTCCACCTGCAACTAATTAACCACACGTGATTTAATCAGTGGGCTGAATATTTATGTTAATGAGTTTTCAGTTTGTCACAACAAAAAGTGAATGATTAAAGAGGACTGGAGTCCACATTTACAGACTCAGGCAAAGCACTACTAACAGGGAATCAAGGCTGTGCATGGCCGCCTCATGAATATGTGTGACGCTGACGTCCCTGCTTCTCTTTTACAGAGTGCCACACGGCCTTCTGCATCAGTGTACCCCCTCCTCAAAGGTCAAGTGGCACACTAAGAATGCAGGAGGTTTGAATCCCCGTCCTTCACGAGTCTCTCTGTGAGGAGGTTCCTGGTTTGAATCCCCGTCCTTCAGGAGTCTCTCTGTGTGGAGGTTCCTGGTTTGAATCCTCGTCCTTCAGGAGTCTCTCTGTGAGGAGGTTCCTGGTTTGAATCCCCGTCCTTCAGGAGTCTCTCTGTGAGGAGGTTCCTGGTTTGAATCCCCGTCCTTCAGGAGTCTCTCTGTGAGGAGGTTCCTGGTTTGAATCCCCGTCCTTCAGGAGTCTCTCTGTGAGGAGGTTCCTGGTTTGAATCCCTGTCCTTCAGGAGTCTCTCTGTGTGGAGGTTCCTGGTTTGAATCCCCGTCCTTCAGGAGTCTCTCTGTGAGGAGGTTCCTGGTTTGAATCCCCGTCCTTCAGGAGTCTCTCTGTGTGGAGTCTGCATGTTCTCCTCGTTCATGTGTGGGTTCTCTCCTGGTTCTCCGTCTTCCTCCCACAGTCCAAAGACATGCTCGTTAGGTTAACTGGAGACTCTGAATTGTCTGTAGGTGTGAATGTGAGTGTGTCTGGTTGTCTGTCTACATCCTGGACCTTGCAGCCGTTATCAGAGGACACATGGGGAATGGACCTCGTGTTCTGAGCTCTGCGTAATGATGGAGGGAGCTGAAGCAGAGCTAATCTGTTAGCGGAGAGTAACACCTCCTCCTCCTCCTCCTCATCTTCCTCCTCCTCCTCCTCATCTTCCTCCTCCTCCTCCTCCTCATCTTCCTCCTCCCTCCTCCTCCTCCTCCTCATCTTCCTCTCCCTCCTCCTCCTCCTCCTCCCTCCTCATCTTCCTCCTCTCCTCCTCCTCCCTCCTCCTCCTCCTCATCTTCCTCCTCCCTCCTCCTCATCTTCCTCCTCCTCCTCCTCCTCCTCCTCATCTTCCTCCTCCTCCTCCTCCTCCTCTCCCCTCATCTCCTCCTCCCTCCTCCTCATCTTCCTCCTCCTCCTCCTCCTCCCCTCCTCCTCATCTTCCTCCTCCCTCCTCATCTTCCTCCTCCTCATCTTCCTCCTCCTCCTCCTCCTCCTCCCCTCCTCCTCTTCCTCCTCATCTTCCTCCTCCTCCTCCTCCTCATCTTCCCCTCCTCCTCATCATCTTCCTCCTCCTCCTCCTCTTCCTCCTCCTCCTCATCATCTTCCTCCTCCTCCTCCTCTTCCTCCTCCTCTCCTCCTCCTCCTCATCATCTTCCTCCTCCTCCTCCTCTTCCTCCTCCTCCTCATCATCTTCCTCCTCCTCCTCCTCTTCCTCATCTTCCTCTTCCTCCTCATCATCATCTGTGTCAGTCTGTTTCAGCTCCTGTTTTTGACGCTCGTCTTTTTTCTGTTTTTATTCGAGCTTCTCTTTTTTAATTGTTTGCTGTAACGACTTTTAAACGTTCTCTTCGTAACGTTTCGTTCCTCTTTGTCGAGATGTTTTCATGTGAAGCACTTTGAATCTCCTTGTTTTCTGAAACGTGCTGCAGAGGTAAATGTTCCTTCATGCTGCACGTTGTTGCTCTTTCTTCTCACAGGAAGTCGTCACTGAGCGGCGCTCTGCCTAAAACATTTAATACGGCGAGTAGAACTGATGAATGAGCAGTAAAAACGAGGTTATTTCTCCGTCTCCAAATTACAACATTAGTTTAAAATCATGGAGAGGGGCGACGGATGATTTATCATTTATTACCGCAATTTTCCTCCACAGCTACAATAACTGCTGACTGCTCTGAGGGCAGAATAACACGCCGTATCCCGTCTCAATGAATGAAACAGGCACACATGCGGGCATGTTGTAAACCCTAAATTATGGCTATAAAAATTAACCTCAGTGTGTGTGTGTGTGTGTGTGTGTTTGGATCACACAGAAAAGAACCGGACAGTATTCTTCATGTTCCCAGAACCTCTTCATGCTCTCACACAGAACTTTCAGGTATTTCTGCAGCCTCAGCCTGGAATCTGTTGCAGAACGACTCGAGGAGAAGGTGTCTTTAAATGTTTTAAATCTAAAATGAAATACATGGAAACAGATTCTACAGGTGTGGATGTTTTGAGCTTGACTGCTTGAACGACTTGACTCCCAGATTTGACTCATAGATGATTCTCCTTTAATGTAAACTTTAGTGTTTCTTGGTGTCTGTAACTTTATGTTTTGGCTGCTGTCTCTTTCGGCCAGGTCTTCCTTGGAAAAGAGGTTCTTGTGGCGTACTCAAACTAGGCCCAGTTTCCTTGTACCGTGCTTAAGCACGATTGCCCCCCCTCCCCATTCCCCTGCAGGTCTGTACTCACAATGCTCCAGGAGCAATTGAAAAACTTAAATCCAAACAAGGACTGTGTGGTCAGCGAACAAATATGACAGAAAAATTAAAAATAGATTCAGTGTCGGATGCTGAAGTTGGAGCTGCTGCTCACAGGTCTGCTGGAGGTGACAGGAAGCTGCAAAGCAAGCTGTGAGTGGGAGGGGTCGGGGGGCTTACCGGGACAAAGCGCCTGCAGGGTGTCATGACTGCTCCTTAGGGTGCTGGTCAGGTGTCTCTGTGTGCTGCCAGCAAACAGAAGGAAGTAGTCCACACCCTCCTCATCCCTAGCCAGCTCCTCATCAGAGAGCTGCACCGTGATAACACACCGCCCCTGCAGAGGAGAGAGAGGGATGGAGGGGGGGGGGGAACCAATAAAGATAGATTTATAAAAACAAACTCAATTCTCAGTGATAGATTTGAAAAAGTTTACATTCATTTCTACAAAAAGGCTTCGAAAAGATACCTCTATATATCTAATAAGTAATCGATCTTTGTCTACTAACACAGTACAGTGAGCACAAACACAAATATGTCGCTGACAGATTATTACAGACTTAATACCATCGAGTGACAAACATCATGATTCAGGATGTGAAGGATGAGAAGTCCACATCTCAGATGAGCAAGTCTATTAGTTTCCCATTGATCTACTCCAAAGTGATCAGGACGAGGACATCTAAAGTCAGTTTGTCTCTTTAAATGCCGTAAAGGAAAGTGCTGATGTGAAATGAAATCCTTCATGTGGTTACAGATTGGATATCTGGGTGTCAGATCTGAACCCTGAAGGGAGGCATCACAGAGTGCTGACACAACGAGGAGCAGCTTCACTTTCTGACGACTTGTTTTTAGTCTTTCTGGTACAAAAAAGTGTAAGAAATGCATTAAACCTTGTTGACTGCTCTTATAATAGCTGCTTTCAAAACTCATGAAAAACATCTGAATGTTTCTCTCTCCACCTGAAGTTTCTCCTCCAGCCTCCTCGTATTTATTCTGCAGAAAGTCAGAGTGAGCTGATGTGAGAACACAGCAGGATATAATCAGGAGAATTCACCTGGAGCCAGTGGGAGGGGCCAGTGGGAGGAGCCAGTGTCTGACAGGGAAAGTGTCCTGCTGTGAGGTGCATGTGTGAACAACCAGATCAGCAGGATTTCGGGAGCAGTGCTCCAGAAGTTATATCGATATTTTTAGGAGTGCAGATGTGAAAACGGGTTGAGTAACAGTGGTTTGTCTTTTGGGTTGTATAAAAAAACAGACACAACCCCTATCAGGTCTAGTCCTTTAGTTGGAGTTCCACACACTTCTGAAAGCTATCAGAGTGT